GCCACACCAATCAAGTCGTGCTCCAGCCATGGTTTCAATCCAGCGAGCGGGAACTCAAGACATGAAAACCTAAGAATGTGGCCATTTGATTGGCCTTACTTCCGATCTACCATGAATAATTTTGTGTCAGGACAGTCTAACCACTAAATCGTACATGATTTTCTCATAAATACGCATACTTTTATTAAAAATGTCATGCTTTAAAATTTAAAATAAACAAAAGCATGGCATGTGATAATATAAAATATGTGTTATTATTCACATAGTATGACAGATTAATCCGCCTAACTTTTAGGTTGTCTTACACAATAACTATTATTATTATTATTATTATTATTATTATTATTATTATTATTATTATTATTATTAATGAAAGATGCTACATTGCATCATATATACAATATGTTAGGCCTTGTTTGTTTAATGGCTTTTTGTCGTAATTCGGCGTTTTGTATCTTTAGCTTATTTGACTTTTTTTTTATCTAACAAAAAAACATGCTTGGTAATTAACTTTTTCAATCAGCTTTTTTGTGCTATCCACTAAAAATGAAAACGCTGGTAAAAGTCTCCTGTTAGGCTGCGCTAACATCGAGTCTACGTACTCTGTTCACAAATGTTCATACTTTAGAAGACAACACAAGAACATATGACATTTTAAAAGTATAAGGCTCTCGACCATGTCGAGCAGATTTGAACATAATATGCTAGGGGTAGCTCACCCTCGAAACGTTGTGGTCTGAGGCTCTCGCCTCCTTCTTTGTACTAAAAAATAAAATATATAAGTATATTTTCAAATACAGTAAGTTCGCCTGCTTAATAATTAGGTTAGCTGTCTCAAGCAAACATTTGTGATCACAATAAATTTCGAGTCCCCCTCCACATGAAATGAAATGAAAACTATTCAATGCATGATTGACTAGTGACTTGTGAGTCTCCCCTAGATATACTAATTAAATGAAATTAAATGCTAATTTATTCAAAAATAAAATAAAAATTACATTAATATCAAATAAATATAAAATATAAAATATAGATACATTCTTGGCACCTGCTTATTTCGATGTCGGGTACAAGGACCATCATATTTTCCCACCATCTTTGACTTTGAACATTGACCATAATCAAAACCCAAATCTTTTTCTTCCTGTTTTGCCCCCGGGCCCTTAACTATATAATCCCTCGTAAACACTCGCAGTTCAAACACAAAAAGGAAGCACCTTTAATTTCATGGATTCGCATAATATTCTCGACGAATACGAGGATGAATACGACGACGTTTTCTACCATGAGCTCAAGAGGCAGGTCTTGCTTTTGACAGCCGAGGAAGAGGAAGAAGAAGAAGAAGTGGTGTCCGGAGCCCGAAAACAAGGATATGGGCCCGGTATTGTTTCCGGGCCAAGCTTTTATTTTTACGATTGGCCCGAGATTAAGAAGGATAATTGCGTGGTGGGCTTGGAGAGAAGTGGAAATGGGACAGGGGTTTTCATACCCCAGGCTGTCCAGGCCCAGCCCACAAGGAAACACAGCTCAAGTATGTGTCTATTTTGTGTGTGTCTGTGTGTGTGTGTGTGTGTGTGTGTGTGTGTGT